TACCATGATTCCAAAATTTCTCTATTGCTAATATATACGTACAGTACACAGGGAAAGTAGCTTACAAAGCCAAATATCAATTTAAATGTTAGTATTATATATAAGCACTTATGTTGAGAAATATGTCAGACAATTTATTCCAAATTTTACCCCTAATATCTAAAATATTGGGTATGATGCAAATTGTACTGTATTTATCTGGAATATGACATACTGGAGTATTCTGTTAATAGTGTACTTATATATATATAAATATTCAAATTTTGTCTTCAAAAGTAGAAAAGTGATAACTCTAAAAGTATAGCCAGATAGAATTTCCCATATTGAGGAACTTGGCTTTTTCAGTAAGCCTTCAGAATCTGAAGTGTATGGAATCTAAAATCCAGAAATATCCAGAAATCAGGTAATAAACTGAATGTTTAAGCACCATGGGTAGATTCTAAAATAGACTATAAAAAATATTTTTAGTCCCATTATTTCTAATATCACTTTCTTTGGGTAATTTCTGATCAAAAGTATCCTTTGGCTGTTAGAATTATTTATAAATTTTCAGTGTGTGTATGTGTGTATGTTTGCACACATTGTCATTAAGAAAGGAATTCTCTAGCCAATTTCAAAGAATAAAAACAACAAATGGTCCCAAATTAGGTGTGTAAAGCTGGTAGAGTCCAGGACTGGAGATGTCATGAAGTCCTGAGACTCAGAATCACTTCAGCTACAGAAAAACCACCTTTTGAGTTCACACCATTAGTGAATAGCACCACGCTGAAACATTGCACAGCCTTCTACTCTGGGAAATAATGAGGAGAGTTTAAAAATGTAAAATTTTAGTTCAGTTAGTTTGGAGCTGAACTTATTCACTTGAAAAATCTGGTGCTATGCACATATCTCTGCCTCTCCTTTGTAAATGCCACTCCAATTTTGTCTTTCTTTACTATTCAAATCCAAGCTTCATATTCTAAGTGAGTGTTATGTTTTCTAAATCACTTGAAAGTTGTCAAGTGAGAAACATTTGATAGGTGAGGCTTTTGACATTGCCACAAACATCCCTCCAGACAGAATTTTGGGGTCAATTCTGTTTTGTTTTGTTTTTTGCTGTTGTTCCCTTATAAGAACAGCTTTCACTAATGTTTACTGTTTCTTTAACATAATATGTAAGAATCAGAATCATAGTTTATTGATTTCAAATATCTGACAAAAAACAGTGAGCTAAAGCCCAATCTTTATGGTTCAAACTCATTTGGAAAAGTGAATGTAATTTGTATCTCCTCCCCCCACCCCCACAGTTTTGTTTCCGCTTTTGGTTGGTTTTTGTTTCCCCTACTTTTAATCCCCAGGGAATATTATTTGCACAAATATAGCCCTAAAAACAGAAAAACCTAAAACATGAATAGAAAGTGGTAAACCCTGCTCAGAAGAAAATTAAAATATAGATCATCCTTTAAAATAACTCTATACAAACATTTTTTCAATTTTCTCTCTGTTGACCATACATTTTGGAGAATCATGGCCAATTATGTTGGAGAGAAATACCCTTTGCTACATTATCTGTCTCTTATTTTCTTACTCTTACTTTTACGTGTTTAATAGTTGAAAATAAATTATGCAGTGTCCTGGTATAGCTTGTTTACTACTTCCTTCCATTGTGTTTTGAATGTCACACATTTGTATTTTATATCATATTTTGATATTCAACTTTTTCATCCTATTGGTAGATAGGGAATTATGCAGCCAATTCATATTCTTATTTTTGCCTTTTTTTTCATGACATTTGGGGTTTTGTTTGTTTGTTTCGCTTTAAAACCTTAAAACCAGCAACTTATTTTATTATCAGATTTTCTAATATGTCTTTCCATTTTTGTATGTAGAGAAATGGCCCCTGAAAGTGTTGATTCAGCATTTTAGGTTATAAATACTTATTTTACCTTAAATGCTGGCAATTACTATGATACTTTAGTGCAACTAGCAAGTATTAGCCTGCTGTATATAAAAGGCTATTATATTGTATCTCTGAATGTTTTGTAGGTATATGGTAAGAAAATACCCATTTGTATGGTAATGTGCGATAGCCCAGCTTTATTTTTATTTCTCCCACTTGAAAGCTGCTATTAGGCACTTTATCTCAGAACAGGAAGGGAAAAAGCAGGCTGCCCTTGGCCCACCTTTGTGCTAGAGTGAGCATGCTCTGTTCTTCCTGCTTACACTCAAGACTGAGTTTTACTTCAGAATTGAATTCTCTAGCAGCTGCATACCAGTTTGCCTTCATATCCTCTTTATTTGGTCTCTTTATTATCCCTTCATACTATCCTCTTTCTCTGGCCTCAAAGTAAGTGCATTTGCTGACTTAATTATTTTTGTTTACAAAATTAATATAGGAATTTCTGTCTCTGATTCAAAAAGTCTGTGTGCATGTGCTTATTCTCTGAGATCGTAACAGACTCTTCTGATAAAATTACTGCATCTTTCCACAGTTGCTATTCATTTGGATGGCTCCCTCCTTTCGTCTTTAAAGGTTTTCTTTTCAAACATAATACTGTGATAAAATCACCAGAGCAACTGATGGAATTTTCTGTAGATGAAATTCCCCAGGTTTTACCTGCTGATCACAGGGAAGGGCCTGAAAAGCAGAAGCATGCCTTTGGTTGTGTGGGCAGTTGTAGGCCAGGGTGTCCTGGTGGCTCTAGTGTCCCCCCAGGGGTAGTCAGCTTGATCATAAGCCCTCTCTTTGCACCTTTCATAGAGACCAGTCCTGCCTGCAGCAGGACCCACCCACAGAAAAGGGGTCAGAACCAACGGTATTCTTTGGCACATAAGGCCAACCAGCTCTTTACATGTATCTACCATCTACCAGGCTATGCCCTAAATATTCAAATTCTGGCCACCTTTGATACTCAATCTTTAAATAAATGATAATTATGATATAGACAGTATTATAAAAGGTCAAGCCAATAATTTGCTAAAAACATTTTCAGAACTATTGAAGAGAGGGCAATATAATATTCACAATGTATAGTAACCATTTAAGCATATACCAATTTTCATAGGTTTGGAATGCAGCCTTTTTTTGCTGCTACTATATAGAATCTTAATCAATTAAATTAAGAAGAGTTTCACATTTTTAGAAATTTGGCCCAAACTTATTACCAGGGCCATCAAAAAAATGCAAACTCGGGCCAAACGAGTGGCGCGTTGGTTAGGCGTTGGCTTGGGATGCCAGCTCTAAGCAGCAGGGCCCCAGTTCGGATCCCACATTAGGGCCAGTGATGCTGCGCCCTCTACAGCTAAGATGGTGAACAACAGCTCAACCTGGAGCTGGGGTGCCATGAGTTGCCGGCGACGGTGTAGGCTGCAGTGGGGCTGGCCAGCAGCCAGCGTGAGGGGCTGGAAGCCTGTGTGAGCTGCCAAGAGCCGCTGTCCAGAGCCGGCGACCGATCTGCCTCATCCCGGAAGAGCGCAACGATAATACCAACATGGGCCAGTGAAGCGACATCCTGCACAACTAGACTGAAGAACAAAACGACAGCAACTTGTCTTTTCCCCTCCCCCAATTCCCCAATAAAATCTTTAAAAAAAAAGAAAGAAAAGAAAATGCAAACTCAACGGGGGATGAAGGAGAAGTCATTGTCTTCCAATTCAGACACCCACGTGGGACAGTTCAGACTTTCTAGGCTGAATGAATGACCTAGAATTTGTCCCATGTAACTATAAAGATGATTTTGCCTGTTGAATGAGAGGACCATCTCACCGTTATCTTGACATTTTAAGGTGGCACTTTATCTCTAATTAAACACAGTTTTAATAAATTATAGATTTGTAAATATATGACAAGTTTTAATTTCCAAGCATAACAAGCTGATCTTTTAGAAGTTACCTAAGTTTTCCATCTCCCTGAAATCTCCTTTCTCCCCCCACCCCTTGAATTCCTACTCATCCATCAAGACTCAGCATTCATTTTGCGTACCTGACTCTTTCTGTCACAGTGTAAAGTGAACAGAACTTCCTTTCTAGGCAGAGAGAAATCCAGAAACTCAGCAAACTGATTAGGAAAAGGTTGTTAGATCGTTAGAGTTGATTTTAATCATGAAATGTGTTTCCAGTGCTTTATCGTTACAGAACTTTTCACTGTCCATCACTCCCCACTCAGTCATTGTGGGCAAGAGCATCAGATCCTGGGCTGTCAGTGGGGAGGTGACTTCCCCGAGGCTCGCTGGAACTGGCTGCCAATACCAGGCTGACATCCAGTTTCGGCATTGGGATCTCCCTTCCATAGGCTTTATTCTCTCTTCCTGTTCTTAAGCCATGCCATGTGGAAACCAGGCAGTGCAGCAGCATCAGGAATGAGGATAACTAATTTAAGTATATGGAATTTGAACAAGATTCCATATTCTTCAACTTTCTTGAGCATTCTGACCAAGTGACCTAAAGATAGAGATGAACCCATCCATGTTTATAAAATAAAATACCATTGGGACTCACGATTTAAATTTAATAAAAGTCATTTAGAAAGAATGTGAATCCTGGCATAGTGAGGCCATTAACTAAATCAACCCATTAAGAGATGGATAATGGATTGAAGTACTTTGAACACAACCCTTCAACACCAAAATGTTTGATTTTTTTTAAGATTTTTTTATTGGGGAATTGGGGGAGGGGAACAGACAAGTTGCTGTCGTTTTGTTCTTCAGTCTAGTTGTGGAGGACATTGCTTCAGTGGCCCATGTTGGTATTATCATTGCACTCTTTCCGGGTGAGGCAGATTGGTCTCCGGCCTCTGGACGGCCGCTCACGGCGGCTCTTGGCAGCTCACACCAGCTGCCAGCCGCTCACACTGGCTGCCGGCCACACACGGTAGCATATGGCAGCCCACTGCAGCAGGTGCTGCAACCTACGCCGTCGCCGGCAACTCAGGGCAGCCCAGCCCCAGGTTGAGCTGTTGTTCAGCATCTTAGCTGTAGAGGGCAGTGTCACTGGCCCCCAGGTGGGATCTGAACTCGGGCCCTGCTGCTCAGAGCTGGCATCCCAAGCCAGCTCTTAACCAACGTGCCACTTGGCTGGCCCTGATTTTTTTTTTCCACGTCACATCTGTCCTATCTTTTAGTCTTTGGTGAGTCCTCTCTCGTGTTTGTAAATAAAGCCATATTTACTATCATAATCTATAGTCACCTGAGCTCGCTTTGCTCCGAAACCATGGACACAGAACTGTTTCATTTCTAATGTGCCCCTTAACCTAATGCCAGTAAACCCAGCCAGCAGTGGTATTTAATATACACGCACTTCAAATTCCACATAAAATGTTTAAATAACCACACAAGTTTTAAAAACGCAAGAGTCCTTTACACTAGCTACCTTGGGAATAGTAACCCTTTTTTTCTCACTATGTTGCCACCATGTAATCATTTTTGGAATTTCTCCTTTGTAATTAATTGCCTTAACATCCACTTGTAAGCCACACAACAAATCAATCTTTTTGCTTTATAATCCTATCTAGGTTAACATACAAAAATAGCATTGCCCCACTGGGTCTCTTCCTTCGTGAACCAGACTTGGCTCTACTGACTTTGGACGCTTTAAAATTACTTCTCTCCTCATTAGGTGCAGCTGTCACTGCTGGGTGAGAATTTGCTGCAGGGGCAGAGCCAGCACAGCTCTGTTTAAATGTCTGATCCCTCAGGGTGACCACTTGATGGAGACAACACTGACTTGGATTTTCTGACAAGTACATATTTTTAAATAGCCCATAATATCCATGCCTTCCAATTCAAGGGAAAATTATCATTTTAATTACTTGGGCTACTTATTTTAATTTCACTTTTCAGAAATGCAACAAGAACTAATGTCCTTTTAAGCTATAAAATATTGATATACATTTCACTAATGATAATTGATTCCTGTTATACTTTGTTTTTCCCTATAGACTTAGCTCCTTAAACGCACCAGTAACCGAATCGGTATTGATTACAAACCTGCTAGAACCTCATGTTTTGAGCAGAAGAAGAGGAGACAGCAAATGGCAGGCTGTGTTTGGGGCAGGGGCCAGGCGGGTCAGATACAGACCACATGTGCGTCCCTAGGATCAGGGAACTGTCCGCATGGGAGCTTGTCTTATTCCCACTGTGCCTGTCCCAACTCTCACCCCCAATTAGCTCTTGTGGAAAACCCTCTGATTCCAGGGGTCCTTGTGCTGTCTCCATGAGATAGCTGTCAGTCAGGGGTAGGAAGTCCACCCCTTCAGAGGGGAGATTCTTAATCCACAGTGAGCTGCATGTATGTGTTTCCAATGATAAACTTCACTCCCGTGTCCGATTCACATCAGCAAATCTCAGCCTCAGTTCACTCTCCTGGCTCATGTTCATTCTTTCATCAATGTAACAAGAGGTCCAATAGCTTCTGGCTTTCTGATCTATGTCCATTTTGAGCATATCTGACTCAGACAGATACAGGACAGGATATGATTCGATCTTCTAACATCACACTGATTATCAGGAACACGAAGTAAAGGAGGAACATTGTGAAGCCCAGGATCTTGTTCATTCTCCATTTGCATGATGCAATTGAAGAGATCACAAACAGGAGCATGAGAAAAAGCAAAACGATTGCACAGAACAAGCCATTGCTGCTGACTGGAATGGGCTGTAGTCCATTGACAAGACAGAAAAGCAGCCAAGGAACAGGTAGGCTGCAAGAGTGAAGAAACAATGTGAATATTTTTCATGTTTATAATCATCCCATGTACTTAAACAGTATTTTACAAGTTACAAAGCACTTATTTACACACACACACACACACACACACACACACACACACACACACAGTCTATGAAACAGAGCAAAATATTAGCCCCATTTCACAGATGAGGATACTAGGGTTCAGGGAAATTAAGTTACTTCCCTTGGACTCAACAACTAAACTGGGAGAGCCTAGATTAAAACTGAATTTTCTGGGTCTGAGTGTTTTTTCTTCATACTACATGACTTCCGTATGACTAACCCAGATCGGTTGACATGTGACTAATCTAAATTTTTATGATAAGGCCCAGCAGCTCTGGATAATGTTTTTTTAAATTCTTTAGTGATAGGGCTCTCCTGTGCCCATTAACCTGCACCACCCATACATACACATAAATTCAAATTAATGAAACCAAAGTCACCCCCCTAGTCCCTGACATGACCAGAGGAATGAAAACAGCCCAGGTGCTCTGCTCTGACAAGGCTCAGAGGAGGGGGAAGGGAACAGGTACAGGAGGATGTGGCGGTTGCCTGTTTACACAAAATGCTTTTAGAGCTGGCAGGAGCCCAAATGCAAAGGAGCAGGAACTTCAGGAAGCAAGGCTGAGTCACTGTTCCAGCCTCACCCCCACCACCTCGGAGGTCAGTGAGCAGAGCATTTGACTGTATTTGGTGATGGAATTTAATGGACTTCATTTTTCAATTCATCTATAAATTCCAGTCAGTTACATTTCAGGCAGCATTTTAGTTTTGTTATCCCATCTGGCTGTGATGAATCAAGCGAGGATACTTTGTTGCCTTGTAGAAAGTAATAATATAAATGCCCTTTTATTCCATGTAAAATGAACGAAGCAGAAAACCAGTGAACAGAGGCAGCACAAGGTTTTCCAGTCTTACTTAATATGCCTTAGAAAGCAACTTTGCCACTCACCCCACGGTGATATCAAATATGTTACTGCCCACAGAGCTTGACACGGCCATGTCTCCCAAGCCTTTCCGAGCGACAATCACACTGGTAATGAGGTCAGGAATTGATGTGCCTGCTGCTAGGATTGTCAAACCCATAATCTCTTCAGAAATCCCTATTGTTTCACCAACCTGGTAAACAGTAACAGTAATAAGAAACCGTGGCAACAGCAGGTGGAAAATCTGAGGCTCTTCAAAGCACCAATCATATTACTTTCTGCAAACCCAACACCTCCCATGGAGCTCAGCACACTGCCTTGGCCTGAGGATGATGGCGGAACTGACAGCTGGGGAGATGGGCCATAAGAGAGAACAGGGTCCCTGCTCAAGGCTTCGGGGAATGACACTGCTCTTGTCTAACTTGGAATTAAACTCATCTAGGACACCATCTCTCACTGTCATTCCAACTACAACACCTCTACTTTTAAAAGAACTGCCCCTTCAAAGATAGGTCCTGTAACATTTCCGGAACCATGGACACCTGCTATGTGCGAGGAACTAAGAGGCTGCAGCTAATACAATAATAGTATGAGCAGCACAACATTGACCCTACTCTCAGCCTAGTGAAGGAGAAATGCTTGCAAACAACGATTATAGCTCTGTGCTAAGTTCAATATTCCAGGTAGAACAGAAAAGCCGTGGGCACTCGGAGGGAGACTGATTAAATGCCAGAATGGAGGCAAAACAGCTTGCTCTCAGGAGTGCACGATTCACCAGGTGGAGAGGAGTGGGAGGTGCGTGACAGAGAAAGCAGGGAATGAGGCTGATAAGAAAAGGTCAACTGGAAGCAGACGGTGAAGGGCCTTCTATGCCATGCTACAATGTAAGACAGAAAAGCCACATACGAGAAGTGTTACATGCACTGGCATAAAAAGTCTGCCTTTACAGACAACATAGAAACTGTACAAATTCACCTGATCCTCACCATTCCCCAGGTACTTGAAATTTACCCTGAAGGGAAAAAGTGTACTTGGGACTTGCAGACGCAAGATTTTAGCTCCGTCTGTTCACTCACCTGGTGAGCCCACCACACCATGAGGTATGAGAACATGGCTATCCACATGATGGATCCCAGGAAAGTGATAACAAAAAACTTCCTAGACTCCTGTTTGAAAGTTTGAAAAGAAATAAGTTGAAAAGGCTAAAGGTCTTTGGCCCTTCTGAGGGGGCCCCGGAATCAGTGATGAAATCTGCTGGAGAGGATCTGGAGATGTTTGAGCTGAAACCTATTTCCATTGAGGACCCTGAGATGGCTGGGAAAGGCTGGGTTGGTGGCCCACAGGGGAGTCCCGCCAAACTGAAGATGGCTGTTTGCTTGCCCAGACCCCCACCAATCTAAGTATTTGGTCTGGCTTCTGCAACCTCTCCCTGCCCTACCTCTCTCCAGTTTTGGGTGGTACGCTTGTCAGATCTTTCCCTATAAATGCTGGGTAGAAATGGCACTTTTACCCTGGGTTTTCACAATATCCCTGTGAAATATGGAGTGGAAGAGGATGTAGTGGCTTCTCATATTAAAATCAAGAGACTGAGAGAGGAGCGAAGAAAGGACTGGTTCACGTTGCTTGCAGTGGTGGAAACAAGCACAGTCTAGGGCCTCCCCCTGGGTGCCTGGTCCCCTCCAGAGCTGAAAATTCCATCTGAGACCCTCTGTGCTGGGGCCCTGCCAAGCTGGTTGGCCCTGTCCTCTCCCTTCTCTTGTGTGGGAGTGCCTAGTGCCCCTACAGCCTCCCTCATGGGGACAAGAAAGCCTGGGGTACAGCTGGGCCAACTCACCAGCCTCCGGACGTCGGGCACCGTCAGCCACAGCGGGAACACGATGGGCAGGAGGAAGAGGTAAATGGCCTGCTTCTGCCTGGTCTCGGGCCACTCCAGAGACAAAGGTTCCTCGTCCTCGTCCTGCTCTTCTTCCTCCTCCTCGTCCTCTTCTTCCTCGTCCTCGTCCTCCTCTTCTTCCGCATCTTCACCATCACCTCCATCACCACCTCCTTCACCACCTGTGCCTTTCTCATCACTTTTGGCTTCACCTTGATTCTCAGCATTGAATTCCTGCTCTTCAGTTTCACCTTTATCACCTGTCATTTCACCATCTTCTCCTTCTGCTTGGCGTTCACCTTCACCCTCATCATTTCCTTTTCTTTCTGCTTCAATTTCACCTTCACCTTCGAGTTGGGTCTCACCTCCACTTTGCTGTCCATTTTCACCTTCACCAGGAGCGTCAGGCTTTTCACCTGTCATTTCACCTGTGCTCCCAGCTCCAGCTACATGTCCTTCCTGCAATCCAAAGCCAACACTTTAATGTGTCATACCGCTCTGCTTGTTTTCCTTCCCAGGTTCTCCCTTTTATTTTTATTTATTTATTTATTTTTATTTTATTGGGGAAAAGCCATAGTCATTGGTTACACATTGCTTTCATGCTACAATGGCAGAGTTGACTCTTTTAAGGAGGGCGCAGCTCACAGTGGCCCATGCAGGGATCGAACCGGCAACCTTGGTGTTATCAGCACCACACTCTAACCAACCAAGCTAACCGGTCACCCCTCCCTTTTATTTTTTTTGTTCTTCTCAGAATGTATCTAAAAACTTGAGTATAAGGAGAAAACTAGCGAAATTATTCAGCAAAGTTCCCTTCACAACGTTACTACCCAATGGTTGTCCAGTCTTTATTTGATCATTTCCAGGGATGGAGAACTCATCACCTAAAGCAGCTTCTGTCATCTTTGGCCACTCTGATTAATTTGAAGCCCACATTTATACCAAGGAGCTACCCACTGGGTGTATGTTTACTCTTTGGAGACACACAGAACAAAGCTAATCACTCTTCCACGAGACAACTCCCTTCTCTGCATTACAGATTCCCCGTCCTTCTGTCATTCCCCCATTCTGCGGCCCAGAGCCTCCTCCCCATCTTGGTGAACTAATTCTAATCAGCTTGTCTTATGAGGAGGCTTTAAAAACTGAACACAGAACACTGCACAGAGTCTAAAAGGATTATCATCTCTCTTGTCTTAGATACTATGCTTCCATTAAGGTTGCCTAATATGGCATATCTTTTCATGATTACATCATGAGTCCACTAAACTCCTAAACTGTTATGTTACCTTATATGTAAAATGATGATACCTATTTATTGAGGATTTTATGTGCCAGGTATCATAAATGGTATTAATAATAATAGCACTTCTGTTTCATAAATCAATTAATTTACGATATCGACAGAATTAAACCCATCTGACAGAGAAACTAGGGTACAGAGTAGTTAAATAACTTGCCCATGGTCCACACAATTTGTAACTGAAGGTGAGATTTAAATACAGATAGTCCAACTCTCAGCCTCTCAACCACCAAGCTACCCTGCTTTGCAGATGCCAAGACCAAAAGAGATCTTTAGTTCCCAAACCTCATAGTCTGGAGAGTTTATTAGAAATACAGGTTTCCTCGCCCCACCTGGACCAACGGAATCAGAATCTCTGGGATTGAAGCCAGGCATCTATTTTAACATTCTCACAAGTGCTTCCAATAGATAACATCTGCAGAGCAGTGTTTGAGAGCCGGGGGCTGACTCCATGTACTCTAAAAGCTGTTGACCTGAAGCTCCTCAGACTAGGCTCTCAACTAACCTATAAGGAGGTGCTGGTCTGATCCCTTGGACAAATGAGCCGTGTGCTCATGGAGTAGTCTTCTGTAACAAATGTCATGACACAGCCAACCCCCAAGGGCTGCTCAGTGACTCTCAGCTCTGACGTATATTAAAAGCACCTGGAGGCTTTAAAACATTCATGCTCAAGGACCCACCCCAGATAGTTTGACTTAACTGGTTGAGGGTGATGCCTGGGCCTTTTTAAAAGCTTCCCAAATTATTCTAATACGCAACCAGGGTCAAGAACTCCTGAAGAAGTCAAATATTAATACTTGTGAAGCTTTGCTTTGAATTGGGAATGAAGAGGGAAATTTTAGTCTGAAATAATTCCTGCCATCCCTCCCTGCCCCATCAGGAGAGAAGGCTTCCTGGAGGAGGTGACAAGCCATTTAAATCCATAGGTGTGGGAGTGTCTGCCCAGCCTGTACCCTCTTCTCTGAAAACTGTCACCCCTAATAATTCCTTCTTCCATGCTGGTGTCTAAGTACCCCCATCTTCCCTGCCACAGCTGCCTGGACACAGGCTGGCTCCCCGCTCCATGCCCTGGTCTGACGAGGAGCCAGTCACTGGTTAATCCCCCTTTGGCCTGGAGGACTGGGGTAGTGTTTTAGGGCTGTGTGTGCTAAATAAGGAAGCAAATGGAGCCAGGCCCAGGAGAGGCCAAGTGACAGAGCCTGCACACAGAGAGGGGGACATGAGGGATAGCAGGACATGGTGCGAGACGCCACCAGGGTCACAGATGCCTTCGCAGGCCTAGGTCGAGCTCCTTGTGCCACCAAGCTTCAATTCCTGCCCTGGGATTCCAGGAGCTACCTCTGCACCCTCTTAATCCCTTTCATTTGCGCTGTCTGTAACGGGTCTACTCAGGACACCCATGATACCATGATGATGTCTTCAACATTGAACCCAAAACTGTTGGTTTAAGGATGAGATATAATTGAGTGCTTCTGGGTGTCACATAAAAAGAACAAATAAACAGGGATGGAACTTGCAAACCGAATGCTTATTTACTGTCAGTCACTCAACTTATTGAGCACAGCTGTGTGCCAGGCCCTGCGTTTCTCTCTGTGGGGAGACAGAGACGATTCGGACTTGGATCCTGCCTTCAGGAACTAAGAGAGGCTCATAAACAGAGTGCAAGGAAGGCAGTGATAAGAGCCCTGAGAGAGGGACAGTGTACCCTGGGCATTCAGATTGGGGTGGGTGGGGGATCAGGGAAGCCTCAGGGCCAAGGAGGGGTTTGCACCAGCCTGCAGGGAGATCAGGATATATGGAGGGGGAAGGCATTCTATGCGGAGGAAACCACGAGGGCCTAGGCCTGGAGCTGGAAAAGCATGGAGACAAGAAGTCCTGTTTGGCGGAAGCATGGTGGAAGAAGAGGCTGTGAGGCTGTGAAGGCGTCGTCGTCAGGACTCAGGAAGCCCTATGGACAAAGCCGAGATGCCTTGGAGGGTTCCAAAGCCTTAACCCAGCGACCCTCCCCACTGCGTTTCGAGCTGAGTGGTCTCACTGTTGCTGACAGACCCCCTAACAGTTATTCCTTAAGATTTTACAGCATGTGATAACTGGCAACACATTCTCATATATATTATCTCACTCATACTAAGGTGTTAGGTGAATTAACAGGCCCCATGATGTATTTGATCTTCAGAGAAAGCGCAATGCTTACCCCTGAGGAGTGAACCTCAAATAGCATTTCAGACCTTCAGGAAGGAAGGATTTTGGTCAGCATTTCCTGGGCCTCTCAAATTCCTCCACCAGGGGAAGAGACTTGTGCCTACCTGACTGCCAGGACCCTCCTCCTGATCTCCCTTGATGTCTGGAGCAGGGGCTGGTGTGACCGTGACTGTGACCGCAGGGAGCGTGGCTGGCTCCTCCTCTTTGAAGGATAAACAGAAAGGGATAGGTCAGAAAAGTGCCAGGTTTTGAGGGCAGCTGGCAGAGACCAGTGTGAGTGGCTGCAGGGCTATTGGACTTGTCCACTTCAGGGTCTCAGATTTGTCTGGGGCCTTTCTTTGTTGATAGGAAAAGTAACATGATGTGATGTAACTGTTACTGCTCTGTCCACAGAGATATGTACAGATGAGAGGACAGCTGGGAAGTGGCCATCCGTGCTCCCCCTGTATTCACAGATATTTTTGTCCTGGCCAGTGTGGCCAAGGATACTATGAACAGCTTGGGCAACTGGAGCAGAGAAAGGCCAAAGCCCCAGCCCTTAGGGTCTGACCTTTCCCCTACCAACTGCCCAAAGAGGATCCTGATTATTTCAAAGGCAGCAGCTAGGAAGCCTTAGAAAGTCTGGAGAGCTGGGTTTAGGTATAGGCTCTCTCATTTCTTGGCTGTGTGGCTTTGGGCCAGTCACTTGACCTCTCTGAGCCTCCCTTGTCTACAGAATGGGGACAATGACTGCTGCTGTACCTCCTTCCAAGGATTGCTGAGCAGATTGTACAGAGCCACAGGGCAGTAGCTGTCTTACTTTCCCTGTCCCACTGCCACACAGATGCTGGACTTCTGGTTCACCAGACTCCTGGGAGGCTTCCCTCACTGGGGTTGCCGTCTCAGACCAAACCTTAGCACAACTGTCCTTTTGTAGAAGAGGCAGGATGAAGAAATAGAGTCTAATTTGGGATGAGATTTAGCAGAAAAAAAGTGGGTGTTCAATGACCTCCAGCCTGACTTTGCCTACCCCATTTATGGGGAGTGCAGAGGGAGCTGTATGGGACTGCCCTTGGGAACGGGGAGGCTGGGGTGCAGGGCAGTGCCAGACTGTGGCTTCAGCTGCCTGGCTGAGAGCATCCCAGAGGCCTGCCTCTGTCCCTGGCCGACAGGAGGGAGGGAGGTTGGCGGGAGAAACCTGTGGGTCTCGCCATCCTCTCACCTTCTGGTCTGCTCTCTGCTTTGGTCTGAGGTTCGGCTTCACCCTCCTGATTCAGGCTTTCCTCATCCTTGTTCCTGGAGGAGTGGGCTGCGAATGAGAAAGCAAACACATCTGGGACCACATATCCTCGCCACACCCTTCAGGTAGGCTGGTCAGCTGGCAGCCAGAGCAGCTGAGGTGGGTGGGGAGAGGCTGGCCTGGGCATTGTGATGTCTGGATTCCAGCCCAAAGAGGCTTCTTCACGGTGCCCAATTCCCAAACTTTTGTCTTCAACTCCCTTCACTGACACTAACTGGCTGTGACCTTGGGCAAGTCACCGCCCCTCTCTAGGCCTATTTCAAATAACATGTCTTGGGGGCAACAGATATTATTTATTTCCTTGGTGAGCTCAAGTGATGACTGCTCTGAGTGCTGAACTGAGGAGAATTCTCATCCAAGCTTGGTGGGAGAGGGCCATGATTGATCAGGGATGTCTGCAATGGGCAGAGAATGGAGACATAATGGGAGGGAGATGTTTTTGCCATCCGTGGACTAGATTATCTGCAAGGTCCTTTGCAGCTTACTTTCTATGAATCTACTAGAAGCTTTGCTATAACTCCAGGCCATGTTCATGAGCCTTTCCTCTCCAACGGGAAAGGGGAACTCGCTGCCCACCAAGCTCCCTGCCACACCCTGTTTGACCGCAGACACCTGGAACCAAGCAGGGCCTCCTTCCAGACCCCTGTGCACACACTTTGCCGGAGGCTCACAGAGTACTGTGCACACAATGGTGCTGCCCTGATTTCTAGGCAAGAAAAATGGGGAAGGCAGCTCTCTTTCGATGTGACTATGTTCCAGGCAACACGCAAGGGCTTTCCATGTGTGGTTTCAGGCTGGAGGCACAGAGACTGAGGTGCAGGTGTTCAGAGGTTCCTTCTCGCAGCCGTGTAGTCTGCGAGGGTGAGGACAATGGCACAAGTGATCGAACAAAGTGCCATGGAGTCTATTCTAGATTCCAGGCTGGCTCTGCCCTGAGAGCACTGGGTGACCTTGAAAAGCCTGTGTCCCCTCTCTCAGGCTCCGTGTCCCCTCTCTAAAAAGGCAACACCATGATATACCGAGAGCAATGATGTGGGGGTCCATGAGACAAAATAAACAAAAACACTTCAATTGCTGCAATTAGATATTGCTGTTAGCGTAGGTTCTAGAGCCAGGCAGCCTGGACTGGAACCCTAGTCCTGCCACTTGCCAGCCATGGGCCTAGCTGGGTGACTCCTTAGCCTCTCCGCACCTCAGGTTTTCATCTGTAACATCTTACAGAGTTGTCGAAGGAATAAATCAATTCATATGTGAATGTGCTTAAAACATGCCTGGCACCTAGAGAGCACTATGTCAGTTTTAGCTACGACAACAATGATGAATTGACAACAGTAGTTGAGAGCAGCTGTCCCACCCAGACTGCAGTGATGAGGCCCTGCATTCCAGAGCTTTTGGGTTAGAAGGGGACCCTGAAGACCCTCTAGTCCATAATCCAGGCAGACTGAGAAACCTAGGAATCTGGATGGAGCAAACTCTGCCTGGGTCCAGGAAGGGCAGGAAACATAAACAGGTCTGAAATTTCCTCCTCGCAACCTGACTCCTAAACTCTGAGTTGGTTCAGCTGCAGCCGCCTCTGGCAGCCAGCTCCATCCTGCAGAGCCACCAGTCTGGCTTATGTGGTCCCTTGAAGTGTCCTGGTGGGGCTGCCCAGGAGGCCCTCGTCAGAACTGAGATGGCAGGAGGCTGGCACTCCACAGCCTCCTTCATCCAGACAAGTCCAGTGCCCTTGGCCTTGATCAAGCACTGCAGTTTTCTGTTGAGCAGCACATAGCTGTTATCGAAGAAGGGCTCCCCTGGTTCCAGTCCTGGGGCTGACGGTATCTGCTGACTGTTGGCTGGAGGGACTGAAAAGATAACCAAGTTCCCCTTTCCTTTTCCTCCCTCCTCACACACCCTAACCTCTCATTTCCCATGCTACTGAGGAAAGCGGGTCAGGACCTCTCTCTGTTTCTCTCTGTCTCTGTGTCTATCTCTGTCTCTTCATCTCATACACACACACACACACACACACGTGAAATCACCAGAAGAGACCTGGGATTCTGGAGAGGTAAAACCCTTTCACAGAGTGAGAGTTTACATCATAGGTCAGCTCTGAGGAAGAATCGGAACACTGGGAAAGAGTGGAAACATCTGGACAGCCCTTTGGAAGCAGGCTATGGAAATACAAACATGGATCTGGAAAGTCTTGGGAACAAAGGCTTCATCACAGTCCCAGCCCCGCCTGGGTGGAATCTCGGGGTGGAGAATCAGGGTCCGCTTCTCTGGGCAGCGCTGCATCCTGGAGTATGTCAGCAGTTGTTCACAGTGAGGGCCGTTCCAGACCCGCCACACATGTGCACGATGGACCACGCGTGACTGTCTTCCCTCGGATGACGGTCACTGGCTCCCCCACAGCTTGTTGCCTCACATGGCCCCTCAGTTCTCAGCACAGCGGATCACCCGCTTAGTATCAATCTGCTTTGACGTCGGCCTGGCCTGGACATCACATAATCCTGTTAGTATAAGTAGGCCAGCTGGCGGCTGCTGGTCGCGAAGTGGCCCAGGCAGGGGCCCTGTGATCCCACTGAGGAGAGGTCTTTATCTAAAGGGCTTTGCCAGAGTCAGTGATTCCACGACGAGTGGCCAAGCATAACCCAGGGATACAGCTTCTTCATGATGCCCAGGCCTGGTCCGCTGCCAGCACTGATCACCCACAGGCCACCAGCTGCTGCGCCCTCCACTCTCAAAACCCCAGGGTACTGTTTTTCTGGAGCTGACACTTGGGGGTGGCCTCTCAATGTCTGCTAAGGCTCACCTTGAGGATTTTCTAAAGAAGGTTTGATCTCCTTGTCTTGGACCCTGCTTTTCACAGTATAATATACTTGTTTTAAACAACCAACAACCCAATATTGTGTCTGAAGAAGAAACTTCAGGGCCTGAGGAAATTCTGAGCCCCCAAAATTTGTCCGTGAGCCAGAAAGGTCAGTCAGGTAGTCCCTAGGGCTCATGAGTCTGTCTCTGGTGTCATATTCAGCTCAGTTCTCAGACCTTTTGCACAACTGCAACCCCAACCCCTTAGTTTCCATCCAAAGGTCAGCCTTCCCTTGATGGGCCTCCTGCCTGGGCTCTCAGTTCTGTAGCAGAGCCCCAGAGAAGGAGGGGCTCAAGGACAGCAGGTGCACACCTAAAGGGGCCTTTTGGGGGCCTGAGAATCATGTTGGGGGCAGCTCTCTGGGGAAGGGGGCCAGAAGGCAGGACTCGGTAAGACGGATGGTGAAAATCTCAGCGGCCCCCATCATTTGTCAAGTCGGACATCTGTACTTTGGATCCTCACCACCCTCAGAAGTGGTCCTGGCAGCTCCCAGGATGTCCTTTGGGATTCCTGGCTGGGGGAGGGGTTAGCAGGCTTCCTAGGACACCAGAGCTAAATACAGAACAAAGGGAGGTGCCGTGAGCTTCTGGCTGTGAGGCCCTACAAGAGGCACCCCCAGAAGCGGCCCTGGCCAGCCAGCCTGAGCCCAGCTGCCTGGCTGGAGACTCTGTGGGACACAGGGCTCAACTCCTGAGCGGTGAGCTTTGCAGGGAACTCACTGAGGGCAGCTCCAACACGGCCCCGTGCAGGGCACACCGCACTCAGGCCTCACTCACTGCAGGTGAACCGCCTTCGTTTTACAGGAGAGGACACGGAGGTAGGGAGATAGTGGGATGTGGATACCTGAGGACCTTAGTTCCTTGGGGCCCTCTCCTGGTCAGTGCCGTGTCTGGGTCTCTATCTACCCTGTCTGTTGCCCAGACGGACTTCACCATCCACTCTCTCCTCTGCTAACTCTCTCTTCCCACTCTCACCCTCACCCCACCCACTGCCTCCCACTTGTTGTCCTGCTGCAGGAGGGAAAGAGTGGACAGGGAGAGCACGCAGGCCTGGGGAGGCCTTGCTTACCTTCCCCCATAGGGTCCAGGCTGTGAAGCATGAGCCAGTAGATGGTGCTGCGGATGGTGCTGTTGTGCAGAGAGGCTGAGCTGCTCCCTCGTGTCAGCATGGACTGGAGCTGAGCAAGAGAGAGCAGCATGGGTCTCAGTGGGCCCCTGCCCGAGCCAGGGGAGGAGCTACCTGAGGACCTGGCATCCTCGCTTCCTTCACCTCAACCAGGAGAGTTACACTACTCTCTTTCTCAGCCTCTTCTCAACAAGTCCATGACTGGCTAATTCTACACACTGAATAATTCCCCAAGGTGTCAACAGGGAGCAGCAGACAATGTGTACTAAGGATAACACGTTACCAAGGGTTTGTCCATGCCCCCAGTACACCCTCCTAGAAACACACTCACCCACACACCACACAGTCAGACCCACTGCACATGGGCACAGCCCTTTGCAGTCCGCAAAAAGCATCCTGGTGCTTTATCATTGCCCCACTCCCAGAGATAAGAGGCTGTGATCCCCTTCTACAGAAAAAGGAAATGGAAACTCAGCGAGGCCAGGTGGCTTATCCAAGGTCGTGCGGGGTGTAAAGGAAAGTCATGACTAGCACCCAGGTCTTCTGATTCTCAGTCCAGATCTTATTTCTACACACGTACATGCTAAGGAGACCTTCACAGGCGCGCGCGCACACACACACACACACACACACACACACACCTGTAAGTGCACACACACAGATGTGACACACACGTAGACATAGCTACACATATAGAAACATTATTGGATTCACAAGGGAACATCCACAGACAGACCAACCCTTGCTCATCCCCTCCATCCCCACCTTTCGCCTTCCCCATCCGTCTGGCTCTGAACTCTTCTGCCATCTAGTGGCTGTGGCAACACTGTACTTTACAACAGGCCTTGGGATTTTCTTTGGATGCGGAGGCTTCGTTCAGGCCGAGCCCCTCCTCTCTAAGGTCCCCATACTTCTTCCCAAATATCCCATCGGCCAAAAGCAGCTAAGACACAGTTTTTCAGATGCCTCAGACTCCCCTGCCCCTTGGGTCCCTCCTATGGTTCTCTTAGAGCTGGGCACTCCTAAACCACAGGTAATTAGGCTTTTAGATCAATCATGGCATGTCGAGACTGTGATTTGGACTTGAGTTCATCTAGTCCAGTCATTTTACAGATGCAGAATCTAAGACCAAAAAAAAAAAAAAAAGAATCTAAGACCCAAGCCCACACCGCAAGCTAGTGGCAGAGAGAGCAGTGACACTCTAGATGTATCTCCCAAACCAGCACCTCCTCCAAGGCCACCTGAGGGTGAGAGTCCCCCTGGCAAAGGAGCTCACTCCTTCCCTGGCTCACCCTGGCAGCTTCCAGCCCAAGATCCCCGGCATCAGGGCCACAGTGCCCTGAGTCTGTGGCTGTCCTCTGAGACCCCACAGTGTCCTCACTGGGCAGGCTCCACATGGCACCCACCTTCAGCTTCTTGTTATCCTGTAGCTCATCCACCGCGACCGCCCCATCACCTGGCTGAAAACAGGGACAGGAGTCACAAGACATTCAGAGAAACCCTTGTTTTTTGTCCCTACTTCCCTTTCTCTCCAGGGAGCCCTCAGGATGGAAAACAGGAACACACCCAGAGGTAAGCTGGCCTTCCACAGCCTGGCTTCAGCCTGCACACATTATTCCCAGTCAACTGTGTCCACTCAGTATGGCCCAGTGACACCAGCTGTCCCTCAGTCCCTCAGAGGTGCCATCCTCTTCGCCCACCTTGAAACCCTCATCATAGGGTGCCCGTCTCATTTTCTTTTATAGATGTCTGTTCTTTTCCTTCATAGCACTTTCCCCAATTTATTTGTCTATTATTTGTATGTTAGCAAGCATGCAAATAAGTTGACTGCCCCACTAGCATCTCGAAGGTAGACTGCCTAGTTCATTCACCATGTGTGTCCAGCACAAAAACACTGCCAGGCACTTAGCAAGAGTTTGAGAAATATTTGTTAAATGAACGAACTGCCTTCTAAATATACCGAATCTATTCCAACTCCTATTCCCTTGTTCTTGCCTTTTCTCTATGCCTAAAATACATTCTCCATCCCTCTGTGTCTAGCAAATTTTCAGAAAATTCAGGGTGAATTCTTATATAAAGCTTTCCCAAATGGCCCCTTCCACCCCACCCTCATTTCAGCTCGCTATGATACAATTCTCTTTGAAAGCTGCAGAAAAATAGTGAGCACTTACTATGCAATAGTCATCACTCTGTGATCAAGTAAGTGCTAGTGTCCCAAGGAAGCTGTAGGGCAGCCAGCTGGGAAATGGGACAGCTGTAGAAAATCCCACATGAGGACACATTAAGCCCACAGTCCTTACTGTCGGGACCACCAGCTTGCCACTTTGTATTTACTGCCTTGCAATAAATACCATTCAAACTTTCTCAAAAAAATCATTGCGTAACTTTTCACATACATGAGTTGTCGACCCAGCTAGACTCCATTTTTTGCCATGCAATGAACTTGTGATACAGTCATGTCTGTTCTCCTAACCTGTTGCATAGTGTCTTGTACACAGTAGGTGTTCAGTGAAGGTGAACTGAATGAGTAGATACTCTCAACTGTCCTCGAGTGCTATCTCCAGGCATCAGGGTCACTAATGGCTACTCCCCCTCCTCCCCAGGTCACTGTCTTCACCTTCCCGCTGCCTTCCCCACCACACCAACCTCCATGGCCAGAATTAGAATGGGAATTGCTATACTCCCTTCTCTATTCAGCTCAGAAAATATAGAAAATACTGCCTGATCCAGGGCTACCCACCCACTTTGTTCATTCACTCAGTTTTTATTTCCTGAGCACCTGCTTGTTTACATGGCACTGTGCTAGTGCTGTAGGAATACAAAGATGTTTAGGACATGGATTCTATGTCTAGAAAAGAATTGAGACCAATGATAACAGAAACACATGACAAAGTAGAATGTGTTTTAAGAACTGAGGGGCATAGATAAAGGTGCCATGCTGGGATGGGCAAGGAAGGCTTTCAGGAGTAGATAGAATTTGGGTAAGCTGTGAAGGATAAGGGGAGGTTTGAATACTTGGATACACGCTGAATGAATGAATGAATGAACGAACAAAGGAACAAATAAATATACAAATGAATGAAACAGAGCAGAAATAACCAATGTGAATATGAAGGGGTGGTACTGTGGACTTTCTGAACAAATTCCCTGACTCATAACGAACCTGTAAGTTTACCGGGATATTGGAGTCTACAGCACTGACCCCCACTGGCTCACATCTCCCTATTTATCATGACCAACCCTCATCCAATGAGGTCTTCTTGGAGGTAAAGAACAATGAGGGGCCAGGCTACCCTTTGAGATGGCTGGTTCCATCCGCAGAGGGGCAGGAGAGACCACTTCTGTCCCATGATGCACACATCTAATGATTCCTCTGCCGTTCAGATTTATTCAAATCAAAATAACTTGTCTCTGGGATCACTGTTTATTGCACATATCACTAGCTTCTAGCTTCTAACCTCAACTCCATGAAATAAACAAGACTAGTATTATTGTTGCTATTTTGATAGGTGAGAAAACGGAGATGTAGAAAGTCTGTGGCATGCCCGCACTTACAAAGATAGTGATGACCCCGAACTCCTCATCTCCATTCAAGGTTTGTTTTTGTTTTCTTACTAAATCACATTTCCCAAGCACAATAAGAAAATGAGGTCAATTCTACATTCTCTAGTGGCTCTTTCAAATTATTGAGGTACATGGCCATGAATGTTTGTCTACATTAGAGTGTGGGTGATGGGTCTATTTATGGGTAGCAGAACCGGAAAGTAGGCGCTCTCAGAATAGCCCTTCTTACAAACACATTCCCTCATCCCCCTCCCACCACACCATTCTCCCTCCTTCACGCCTCATCACCCCACCTTGTCCTTCTCCTCATGAAAATTAGCAAAGGGGCTGAGGAAACTGAAGAGGGCATCTTCATGCCAGCCAAGCCACCAGCACCTGTGATGCATCTTCTCTGCTGAGAAGGAGCAATGGGAACTGTGCACAGAAACCTGGGGAGGCAAACATGGCAGCTCTTCAGGGGGCTTGTCCTCCTGAGCTCCAGTTTCTGTCTCCCACGGAATCCGATGATTAACTGGCCTCTCCCCTTCTAGACCATCCATGACAGATTTCCTGAATCACACATTTTAGTCTGTGATTTTTTAAAACACAGTCATTCCACAATATTTACTGAATCCCTGGTCTGAGTCCTGCCTTCACCCAGCTACACTCCGGTAGGGCACTCTTCCCTTCAGCCCTTCACTAAGTACAGACTTACACCCTGATCCACTCACCTGTCTAGGCTGGAAACCCAAAAGTCTACCCAAATTCCTTCCTCTCCCTCAAAGCCAACGTCCAATTAGTTCAGACCTTGTTCCTGAAAATCCTCAGATTTGGCCTTATCTCTCCATTCTCCTGCCTACAATCCTACAACAGCCGCCCGACTACTGACCTCTTCTGGTTCATTCTCCACTCCTCAGCCCGTGATTTTCTGAGCAAAGCACATCATGTCCCTCCCCTGCATCCTGGGGGCCCACTGTCCTCAGAAGAGAACCCTGACTCCTTGGCGGAACACACACCACAGCCTCCTGCTTATCTCCAGTCCAGTCCTGTCCCTTAGAAATACTATAGAATGCGAGCCACACACATAATTTTAATTTTTTTTGTAGCCACATTTTTTAAAAGTAAAAGAAACATGTAAAATTAATTTTAAAAATGTCCTTTGTTTAACCTACTATACAAAAAATATAATTCAACATAATATTTAAAATATTAATGAGATATTTTACATTTTTTTCATACTACACCTTTGAAACCCAGTGTGTATTTTATACTTACAGCACATCTCAATTCGGACTAGCCCATTTCAAGAGCTCAGTGGTCACATGTGGCTAGTGGCCATCCTCCCGGACAGTGCAGCTAGAGTCTCTTCATACTCTCCTTCTCCTGGCCTTTACGCATGCCTAGGAGACTCCCCACCCCTTCTTCGGTCAGCCAACCCCTGCTTGTTCTTCAGAAAGCCCTCCCTGACCTTGCGGTCTGTTGAGCTAGCCACTCTCTGCAGTACTACATCCCTTGGCACTTACCTGTATCAGTACACACGATACGGTAACTTAGTTTTGTCTGTCTTCCCCACTGAGAAAGGTTTACTGGGGAGCGGAGAAAGCTTAAACTTCAGGACCCGTCTCTCCCCTGCACAAACCCTTGCCAAGGCTTTGTATTTAATTTTGTAGCAATGGTTTTATATTTTTTTTCTTAGAGTGTCAGGCCCCACAAAACATGGATCAACTCCCACTCCTCTGCCAGGCTGAGATCCTTGGGGGCTGGGACAGTATACCCAGACCCTACACAGGCCTCATATAAAGGCATTCAATGAATGTTTGCCAAATAAATGAAAGTTGGGAGTTCTTTAGGGCTTAATCCTAGACTTTCTCTTCCTCTCTTTCCGAATAGCATTAGCCAGTCCTTGATTTTAATTATCATACATTTGTTGGTAATTCACAACTCTCTATGTCCTGCCCAGACCTTGCTCCTAAGCTTTAGGCCCATTTGTGCAACTGCCTCTTAGATATATCCACTTAAAGGTGACATAAGCACCAAAACTCACCATTCCAGAGTGAGAACTCAAGTCTCCCTAAATCTGTTCTTCCTCTAGCCTTGCCTTTGTCACTGGATGGCACCACCCTCCACCCTGCTGCTCAAAAACCTTGACTTCTCCTGCTCTCTTCCCCTCCACATCCACTTCATCACCAAGTCCAGATGATTTTGTATTCAAAACATCTCTCAAATCTCTCGAAAGATAGAAAGATAGATAGATAGATAGATAGTCAGACAGACAGGCAACCAGACTGGATGCCCACAGCAGCCTCCTAACTGGACTCCTGCCTCCATCCTTGTACACCTACAATTCACTTTCTACACAGCAGTTACGAAGTGGCCTTTTAAATATGGCTCCTCATTACAACATTCCCTATTGAGCTTCAGCTACAATCCAAACCCCGTATGTGATCCACGGGGCCCTACATAGAGCAGCTCCACCCTCCTCTCCAGCATTACCCTGTACCACTCTCCCCTTACTCACTAACCACACTGGCCTCCAATTCTCTCCTCTAAGACGCTGAGACTTTGCAAATGCTGTTTCATTTTCCAGAATTCTTCCCCATGGAACACGGGGTGTTTCCCCCACTCATTCTGCAGATCTCTACTTGGATTTCTCCTCCTCCAAGAGGCCTCCCCTGCTCTCCCTCACTAAAGGTGGCCCACTACCTACAGTCAGCCACTCTCTATCACATGCACTGTTTATTTCCTTCATGGCACTTGTCACACTCTGAAATTATCTTCTTATTTTATTTGTTTATCATCCATATGTCCACTCACCAACACTAAAAAAGTTTCTGTTGGATTTATGTTTCCAATTTATACGGGTGGCAGAGCATCTAGAAATCATGCTGTTCTTTGTAGAATACCATGAACATCTAAT